AAGGATGCAGTTTGTTTGCTTTCTTAGACCTCTCTTACAACCAAATGCAAAACATTCCCTCTATTTTGTAGGATTCCCTCTAACGAAGTACAATCAAAAAGTGATCAATTTTAAGTACTTTTGTTGATGATAACAAGTCACTTTGGGTATCCAAGATGAAAGCTTACCTGTGAAATATTCCTACCAGACCTTAAGATACTGAGTGACAGGGTAACAATGAAAACAATAAATTTGACCTGGATAATCACGAAAAAATGCGTATGAAAAAAGTCATATTTTATGTAGAGATATAATGATGGGCTTCAAGATAACATTTGCTGAGATATGGAAGTTAAATATTTCCATGAAAACATAAATTCATTGTTCAGATCTAACTAAAGTGAGTGTTACTAGTAAAGAAATATCAGTTATACACATTGGAAATATTTAATTTATGTACTATTTAGACAGTGAGTTCTAAGGGAGGCAAATGGCATAAGTGGAATTCATATTGCAGAGAACAAAATAGTGCGAAATGTGCTCCATAAGTAGAAGTGCATGACCATCAGTGAATATTTCAAATAAAGATAACAGTTTCTTTTGTAGTAAATGAGTAAGTAATTATTCCTTGAACTGGTTGCTTCATTCCAAAAATGTAAAAATTACCCTACTCAAAGCAAAAATGGACAGCAATTCAAATGACAGGACTATTTTTTTAGAAGAAATATAAGAGGGAACAAATATTTTTTGATACTGCAAGTAAGCAAATGAATCAACTACTAAAGCAAGGGTCAGAATTACTGCACTTCCACAGAATTACAGGAGTGATAAGAATAAATGAGAACCAAAGCTTAATTAATTATACTCATTACATTGTGCAGTGTAATTACATTAATAACATTTTACGTGGATAGTAAAGTGATTCTGGTATGGTTGAAAAAATACTCATCCTTGGGTCTAAAAGCAAAAACCATGCCATAAAATGATATAAATTTGTCTGTCAAAATATTTAAGAATTATCATCTTACAGTGAAGTTACATGAAAACTTCACAGATTATTTGCACCATGTTCTTTCTTTGGTGGACTTTTAACGATAATGGGTTATAATAATTTCATTTTTTTGATACCTGTCTGTGAGCAGGGAATAAGGTTTCCATATTCATAGAGACAGTGAGGAGCTAAGACTGGGTGGGAAGGTCAGCTATTGTATGGTTGATGGAGGAGGAAAGAAATTAAATGTAGACAAGCAGCAAATATTAGCCTAGGGAATTCAAACCCATACTCCAGAGTACTAAGTGCTGCCTACCCTCACTCCTTTTATTTGTACCTCTCCTTTCCTTCTCCATAGCTATCTTTCTCAGCTCAGGTCCTGTACAGGTAACCCCTGATTATGGGATGGTGAGAGCAGTGGGACATGTTTCAGGCAGATTCTTCCTTTCCCAGTATGGCAGCTATTCATCCTGGTCTTCTGCACCGACCAGTTGTCACAGGTCAGAGTCTCATGCCAAACCTTCTTGTGCTGGGTGACTCTGACAGGTCAATAAGCAGCATCTCTATTTCTGCTGACCAATGCAAGCTACTGACCCAGGTGAATTAGAGATCCCATGGTGGTTAAAGAGGACCAGGTGGGACAAAAAGAATGTCTGTGAGGTGCTGGTTTCTTTGGTCGTGTTGAAATAATTTGGATTTCTACATCTCCTATGCCTAGAGTATTTATCTATCTAATGTCTCAACTTCACCCATTTTCTCCTGCTGCTGAAAACCAACATAGCCATTAAGAAAGTATTTTAAATATAATCTGAACATATATTCATTTTGCTACTTTACATCTCAGTTATTCTCCCAACACTTTTGCTGGTCTTCACCACAGGTGACCAGTGAATGTGTCCAAGGTGAATCCTGCAGTTAAACTTTTCCACATTTTTTGCTTATTCTCATTTTTTGTGTCTTCCATGGTATAATTTTCTTTTTAAAACTAATGTTTCATTCCATGTTAAAATTTTAGTTTCTGATGCTTTACAAGATGTTACTAACATCACTTGTTTCCTGTGTGGGAAATGCTGGGTTCCTATGTGCAGCATTGGGTTCTTTGTAAAACAATCCCATGAACTTGCAGTAAAAGGGATGAGGTAGCAAATGGATAGCAAACGTGACTAATACAATTAGATTTTAAATTAAAAATACGTAGCAGTTATGTGCCGGAGTCTTCCCAAATATTTAAGACGGATGTATCGCCAGCAAAATTCATTCATTATACCCCTTGGATTTATGATATTATATTTTAAAGCATTTTTTCTCCTGTTAGACTTTTTTATTACCCTCTTTACATACTTGCAAATGTTTTCCATTGTTCACACATATGATGCATTTTTTTTAAAAAAAGCCCCTCCACAATGACAGCCCTCATCATAGGAAAAGTTTTTTATAAAACTCTGCTTCACTGTCTTGCCCTCTGCCGTCAAATCTTCAAGTGACAATGGAGTAATTTTCCACCTCACCAATCAAGAAAAGTTCATTGTTTCCATGTACACTTTCCTCACACTGTTTCACTCTGTGGCTTTAGCCTCTCTGAGATGAGAATAGGGTCTCTGTCCTGCATTTGAATAGCACTCAAGCACAGACTACAAAAACTTTTACAGTGTTGTGATAAAAAATTAAGATGGTCTCAGCAATGAAGACAAAAAATTGAACTTTGGGTTGTAGTCTCCATTGACACAGATCCAGGTTAAATTGCTGTTGGCCTTCTAACTAAAATATGTCAGACCAACAACAGTATTTGCTGACAGTGGTTTTCTTTAGTAATTCAGAAGTCTGGAGCAATAAAGTTGTTTGAAAAAGGTAAACAGTTTAGCAGAGTGAAAAATTGGGTTGAGGTACTACTGTAGATGCTGGCTCTGTCTCTATCCAATATTTTCCACCAGGATAAAAATTAGACAAATATTTTGAGCATGCAGGAACAACACAGTAATGGGAAAAGCCATAATCAGAAGTATTTCTGAAGCCAAAATATTTTTTTATTTAATTTCATGAAAAAAAATGAAAGAAAATCTGGAAGAGAATATGGTCATGTGAAAACATGACAAAACTGCAATTTACCTGAGCTTATCATCTCTCAGCTTCTAAGGCATTTGCTTCTTTACTGTGTTCCAAAAACCATTCTCTATACTTGGTTCCTAAAATGTAGGACCATTAGCAGATCTTAACAACTTATATTTCAGGTTAAACAGGAAAGTGATTGTCTTATGCTACTTCATGGTTTTTCTGCTGCTAACTTTAGCATCCCCGCATTTAAAAATCATGATGGCGACAAACAAATGTCAGATGGGTGGTTCGAAAAAGTTGGATGTATTTCCAGCTACTTAGAGCATGCTGAGCATCAAAAAGGGGCCAAAATGAAAGAAGGGATCCATGCCACAAATGTCTTAAAGAATAATTTGTTTCCAGAAAAAAATAATAAATCTAAGCTATTTGACTTCTGGGAAAGGAGAACTACAGGGTTTTATCCCTTTAATCATTTCATGATTTCTTTTTTTCCCTCATAAATATTTTAACTTGTCATACTAATCTCTGTTTTACATCTTTGTAGCATCTGTGGATCTTCTCTAAGATAGGGACTTGATCACTTTTCAACTCAATAGAAGGAAGATTTCTTTATTTTTTCAAAGGTGAAGCTCTTGATTTAGCACATTAGATTTGAGCTCAAAAATTTTATTAAATAACCCCAATTAGGTCTTCTCATTGGAATTTAGATATCACAAAAGGAAATTTTCAGAAGAAAACCCCACAAGTGCTTGAATTCTTTTCAGTTCCTTGAGTAAAGAAAGGAGAAACCTTTTTTTAGACTGAGAAGCTAGCAAACCAGAGTGGAAAAATCAAAGTGAGACTAAAGAAAAATGCTTTTCTTGGAGACTGATTTTCTGTTCTGAGCCTCATCCTTTGTCATCCCACTGAAGTGTTTTGGCCAATAATCCTTCTATGAAGTATGTTACCCACAGAGATCCAAAGATATCCTTCTCACCATTCAAACTCCTTGTATTTTCAATATGAGTATTGCTTTCAAGATGAATTAGAAGAGACCTGAAAACTTTGCTCTTACCAAAATATGATTGCAGAAAGTTAGAAAACCAATCCAGTTAATCACAAAGAGGACAGGACAACCTCCCAGCTGGGACTATGGATGGAGTACTTCTAAAAGTTGGGGGTTGGACTGCTTAGAGCATCACAGGACACTGCACAGCTTTGGTGCAGTAATACACTGAACATATCGAAAGAAGGAAGAAAACCCCTTTGGATAACAAGGCAACTCTTTGCTATTTGGTGAGGAATCCCAGGGCAAAGTTTTCCTGCTACTTTGTAGTGGGAAAAGTGCTGGGCATAGAAGATAAGGGGCTCATGAAGCCCACAGTTAGAGATAATATTTAATCTGAAGGGATTATCTTGAATGGTCAGTTAATTTCAAGAATTGTGATTTGAGCATAGTAATCAATGTGTGTTGTCAATTACTCTGGATCTGACTGTAAAACCCCCACTGGATACTAGGTTCTTTGAAAAGCAATCACATCAGTTTTCAATAGAAGAGATGAGATAGCAAATGGATAGCAAATGTGACCAATACAATTAGATTTTAAATTAAAAATATGTAGCAGTTGTGCCCTGGAGTCTTCCCAAATATTTAAGACTGACGTATCACCAGCAAAATTCATTCATTATACCCCTTGGATTTGTGGTATTATATTTTAAAGCAATTTTTGTCCTGTTAGACTTTTTTATTACGCTCTTTGCACACTTGCAAATGTTTTCTGTTGTTCACACTGGGTACATGATGCATTTTTGTTCACACCTTATTCAACTGAAGACTAAATGGCTGAAAAAATTTACCTCATGAAAGTGAAATGCTGTAAAATGTTAAGCCCACAAGTTTGAAGTTCTCAGTGGAGGATTATTTCAAGTTCACCAGTAGAATAAATATATATATTAAATAAGTGACCTCTTAATATACTTAAATAACCCCTCCTGTAAAATAGTTTATTTTTATGTTCTTTATTCCACCAAAACTGCATTGCAGTTTTCCAGTCTTTATATTTACATTATTTGCAACTCTTTCCATAAGTGCCAGTACAAATGTAACTGATGAAAATCCAGAATAGTCATACAAATGTTCCTGAAAGCAAGGTGCATTTCTGAGCATATTTTTTTCTGATGCACAATAATATATATGTATATATTAACAAAGCTTCATAATATAAAATATCTTCCATGGCAAGTAAAACTTCCCCACTTACAGCTTATTCAGATCTCAGTTACACAGACTTCTGCATTTCAAGTTAGTGCAAATAATGAGAGTAAGAGCCTGAGCAGAACGATGTCAATACAACGGAACAAGAGAAACAGCAAAATTTTACCAACTCCCTGCATACGGTTATAACATTTAATCAGTACATCATTAGTATTCTTCATATACAATGTATTTAAATAATTGGCTTGTCTGAACTATAGGCAACAAATTTACAAAATAAAATAATGTTTCACACAAATATGGAATGTCGGACAAATATATGAAAATAAAATGCATCTAGTAACAAAACATTGTAAATCAAAAAGATAAAAGATGTCTTCTCCATTTTTGAAGATTTCAAGGCACTTTCTTGGCAAATCAGAATTCTCTCCTTGGTAGAAAGTCTGCAAGAGAAAAGGACATGCCATTTTATAGCTGGTTTAAAAAGAGAGAAGCAGACCGCTTAGCAAAATTCTGTTCATAAACCACAGTTTCCTGCGGATTGCATAAATCATAAGATTAACTTCAAATGCCAGTGGGTCTTGCCCTCCTGTGAGCACTAATGAGTTTTGCCGGGGCAAATCCTCAGCGTCAGTGCCAAGAGGTTTAACACACAGAGGTCTGCACTGCTGCACCTTGCAGGGGAGCTCCCCATGCACACAGCCACGTGCAGTTCTGCATTCTGGGTTTCATTAAATGCTTTATTTCCATTTGCAGGGATCTGACTCGGGAACTGATAACAAACCCACCCAAACCTCTGAGGACTGTAAGGGCGGTGGATGCCCGGTATCCCGCCCCGGAGCCACCCCGGCGGCTGCCCGGTGTGCGGAGCCTCTCCATGGTGCTGAAACATCCCAGGGACAAGATCCGCGGGCAGACTATTGTCTTTCCCCAAGCCAAAGTTCATTTCGAGGAGGAAAAGACCATGTCTTCTCTGTATAGCCGGATATTTACAGATGAGGAAGGAAAATATTTGCATAATAGCACTGCAGCTCTTTTTTAATGAGGGAAAGGCAGCCTATTTTGGTACTGGCAGGAAAAGGCTTGAAAATAGTTGTCAGTTCTTCAAGGGAGAGAGCCTCCTTCTTCAAGGCAACCAAGAGTCTCCAAGATCTGTCAGATGTTAAAGTGAAGGCAAATTTTCTTACAGGCAACGGGATCTATGGCCATGTCCTCTCTACACTAGTGTGAGGGTGGTGAGGAAAACAGATCCCTTGTGCCAAAAGATGAAGCAGAAGTAATCAGAGAATTATGTTAGAAATGCTATGTGTTTGAGGAATTAATGTATGTAACTCCTTTGTTGCACTCCCTACTAACAGGGAAGAGAGAGCAACTCCTGCCACTCTGGACCCTTCTCAAGAAAATGTTTCCATTCCAAGAATCAGTGGATATGAGTAAATATGAAGATCTGAGGATGTCTTATTTATGATGGAAACTATCCACTGTACTTAGTGGAGGAATGGGCTGAGGGAGCACAGAGACAGCTGGGAAACACTCAGACCATGGCTATACTTTTTCCTATAATATTTTCTCTGTTTTTAACAAAGCAGAGAGAAAGCTAGCCTAGATACAACTTTAAGTGAATGCAGTGCACACGAGCTGCTAGCAATGCTTACCATTTAAAACCTTTCTTCCCTATTTTTCATGTCTTTGAATGTATTTTTGGCAGGCAAATTAAAACACCTGGCTTTGCAAATCATAGCAACTTTTGATCCTTTTGTGTTTTAAAGATGGAAATAGGATGAGATAGATGCTTCTGTACTGTAGATATGTAGGCAGATCTTTGACTCATTCTCTTAAAAGAAAAAAAAAAAATTGGAACACCAGAAATCTCTCTGAAAGCCCTGATATATGAATCCAGAGATGTAAATGGATACAGGTAAAGGTAAAGGAAAAACAGAGACTAAAAAGGGAATACTGCAGAAAGTAAGAGAGTGGTGAGATGTTTGAACAAGCTGAGATTAAAAAGAGGATACTAAAAAACAAACAGGAATTTAAGTACCTCTCCCCCCCGCTCCAATTTTTTTTTTTTTTTTAAGAGGACATTCAGGAAAGGATTCCTTCCTTGAGTCATGAAAAGGAGATACAGGCAAAGTAATGAGATGCCTAATCAGTCTCTAGTTTGCTGTCCTTGCTATATTCAAAACCATCTGCAACACCTGGAAATCAAGAGGCCAAAGAGACTGAAAAATGTTAAGAAGAAAGGAAGAGAAAGAAATTATGTCATTTCTTCTCAGAACTGAAATATTGCCATATTCTTTAAAGCACAGCCACCAAAATGAATCCCACCTCCACTGAGAAATCAAATCAGCTAACACTGACTCATATCCTACTCTTCTTTTCTTATTCTTGATTAGTATGAATTGAAGTCTTGATGCAGGAAGAAGTGACATACACAACTCCCCCAAGCTCCAAGCTTGCAGTATTTGTCAGGAGGAGGTGGTGAAAGGAAACCATCTTTAAAGAAATTTAAATAAATAAAATTCACTGAACTTATACATTTTAGTGGTTAATAATAGCAACCAGAGTGTGTATTTACAATTAATCTTTGAAATTATAACCATCTTATTATTATTCAAAAAACAGGAGAAAACAACTCACTTGGAGATATTACTTTTACAGTCAGTGACAATGCTGTGTAATTAACATTTGACATGCTATTCATAAACAAGAATGGACTGGTTTCTTCTTCAGGCTACTTAGTGAAACCTTTAGCTTTCTTTACATCTTTATGTTCAGTTTCCTTCCATCACCATGAAGTGTTCATTAACTTTTCAGAAATTCTCAGAAGACTATATGAGAATGAAAAGGGGTCCCAGAAATGAATTAAGTGATAGATGATCTATGAAGATTGCATTGGTAGACCTGAGAACAAGACATTCTGTTTCTTCCATGGATTAACAACAAAGTTCTCTGAAGAATGGCCTGAAATAAATGTGCTGATGATGTCCTTGGGCATTTTCTTTCACCAAGCAGACTTCTTCTTGAAATTTTGAACAGTAAGAGGCCACCCAGTGTATAACTACGGACTGCAGTGCCACAAGTGAGTTGAAGGAAATTACACCGGGGCTTGCCAGAGGTATTTGTGCTTCTATGTATTTCCAGGAGGAGCCAGTCAGTTCTTCAAAGCCAAAGCTGCATGTTGATACACTCTGATAATACCACATTTTTTTATGCACACCTGATAACAAGGTATAAGTGTGAAGTAAACCAGTAGACCATTCAACAAATAAGAAAATGAGTGGGGAAAATGATACTTACATAGCAAACATCCTAGGACTGTGTACACAAAGGGCTCATTGCTAATCTTGTTAGCAATCTTGCACACCTTTTGTAATCTATAAAACAGAATTACCCACAGCAATAATGAATCTCAGTTTCCAGATACCCTCAAAAAACTGCATAAAATTAAAGTTTGTACTTGAATTTCAAACACCCTACACAGTGAAACTGTTATCTGATGGAAATTAATGAAATTATGTGTGCAAGATGCAATATTAGGTTGTACCTTAGCATAGTGCTCTAGAGGAAAAGTACAAGTGATGCAAGGAATTAAATTTCAACCAGGAAGTTTTCCACTGGGATGTGGAAGACCAGGAATTTAACTCATTAACTTGGAGGCTATTGTAACTATCACTATAACACAGTCAGAAGTCAGGCTGCTTCAACATTTTATTGTTCCATTTCTTATTACTATTGATTTAATTCCATATTTTCCACATTTAAGTACATCTCCTAATCATCAGATTAAAGATACTAACCTCCCACTTCCAATCCCCCTGTGTGTGCCCTTGGTTTAAATGACCACCTGGTTCAAGTGGATCCTGAGTCACTACTGCCTTGCTCTCTGGTATTTGCTAACAAGAAATACACAGGTGCTTCTCTTGCTTGATATGTATTTTAATAAAAGGTAATATAAATTGTGACAAACAGCAAGAAAGTGATTGCTATCTGGGTTTCAGTTTCTCAGAAAATATTTGTACAATTATAACCATGTCAGAAGGAGAGGAAATAACTCATCCTCAGACATCCCATGATGACTAAGGTGTCCCTGACAGAAAATATCAAACCCCTCTAAAGACACAGCGAAAGATCTTGGCTATGATCAGCCTGAGACAAATTTGAAGATTTACCTCTCCTTTTTAGAACAGAAAATTTCAGGTAAATGGAACTCATTGTCTGCTTTGGGTTTGCTTGATGCAAGGGAGAACAAAAACTCTGCTGTGGTTTAAATCACCCTTTTAATTTTACAATTTGCTTTGATAGTTGAACTAAAATATAACTTCTTTATATCATTCAAAATCACAGTCTTGTTTTTAAATTTAAGAAAAGCTATTTAATTAGAAGAAAATAATATTACTCTTTTTCTGGAGAAATAAAGTGAAACACTCAGGTAATACATAAGAGTCCAAATAATATTCACATGCTCTGGATCCATGTGTCAAGGCATACAATATGGTATTTTTGTTGCACAGCATGTAATAGAAATATGCCTTGTCTACTCCTGTGTCTGCTTAGAAAGCTGCATGTATATCTTTTGTGGATCAGCCATGGATTCCTACAATCCAGCTTCTAATAAGCATAAAAGCAAATGGAGATGAGGGCTGCTCCATCCCCTTTCAAACACTAAATCCTCTGATGTGCTGAGCAATGGTGAGAGAGCACCTCAGCTGCTCACAAACAGTGCTTCTAAGTGATGCAGCGAGAAGGTCCCATTGCTTTTCCATGTTAAATCCTGAAAAACTTCCAAAGCACCAAACTTTGCCCACAGTTTGTGCTTACACATTCTTAATGAGATTCACTTTCTTTAATTAAAACATACTGCTTATTTTCCACTGACTTTAATTGAATTGTCCATTGCACTAGAGAATGCTGAAGTAACTTCTATTTAAGGAATCTCTATTTTGGTTTGGGGTTTTTGTTTGCTTTTTATCCATTTTATCCAAGAACACTTCTATTTTTCAGTATCTCTGACAAAAATATATTCAGGCTGTGTTAAAGCAAAGCTTCTGCAGTCTCAGAGAGGAAGTTTGCTTGATGAGAACTGAAAGTATCAAAAACAAAATGATGAATCAAATGATTTTCTGTTGCTTAACAATGGGCATATAATAGAAAATTATACTCACAAGCTGAAATATACCAAACCCCAAAGATACAACTCTACTATTAAGCATTAATAGAAGATAAAGAATGGTTCAGATTTTATCTTGCACAAGGAAAGCTAAAGAGAGCAAGAAGGAGAATATCTGCCCTCTGCATAAGCATGCCCTACTGATTTTTTTCAGTGTAGTTTTGGTTTCATTTATTTCAGCATTACTTTGAAGGAATTCCATGATGTTCAGCTGACAGCAAGTGCATTAACAGAAAATATTTATATATTAGAAGATCTGGGTATGTTTTTTTAATGTAATGCTAAAGAGTAACTGTTAAAAAAGGACCAGGACATCAAACACTTAATAGATAAAGTGTGTTGCTTTCAAGGAAGTATCACAGCTAGCATTAAAAAGTACTTTGCTACTTACAGGTTGGTGTTGAGCAGTCCCTTGTGTTGTGATACAGTCGATGAAAGTGCTTGCTACACTCTGAGGAAAATGTGACTGGCCCTGTTTGAAAGTAAGGAGCAGTTAACAACAAGCTGTTAGTGTCACTGCTCTGCAGCTTCAATGGATGGCAAAACACATAGCATTAAGTTTTTTCTTGGCTAAAACTGAACTTAGTCTTTTACCCTTAACTATGATGCAACACAAGTATAGTAATGCTAGTGAAATAACAGAAAGAAATTCTATTTCTGTGCCTTTATGCTCACGATATAGAAAATAGAAAAATGACACATTAAAATGATGGGTTGGTTTAGCCTTGAAATTCCAGTAATTCAAAATCAGCAGTAAAATTTCTTATATGGTGAAAAAAAGAATGACAATTACAGTAAATTTAGTTTGTTCAATAGTTGTCTGTAGACTAATGTAGAAGGAATAATGCACCTAGACTGAGGATACTATTTGTGAAGATAAATAAAAGCAACATTCTAAGCAAATATGAGTTTCTAATCCCTGGAAAGATTTCATGCACTAATGCTTTTAATTTGCACATAGATGGTTTATAAAATTCTTAATATACAGTGTAGGTGTTGACAGAAAAAAAATGACAGCTGAATAACATCTAGGAACCTGATCTCCTGTTAAAATAATCCAAGTAAAAAGGCATAAAATGTGCAGAATGCAGGATATGTTTCATCTTTGGCAAGGCAAATCCCTGCATGTCCAGGGCATAGTGTGCAGCTCTCTTCTTTGGATATTCTGTGCCATCTGTTTACATTAATATTTGACTAACAAAATATCCCTTCTTATGGCCAGGGAGCTGGAACTAGATGATCTTTAGGATTCCTTACAACCCAAACCATTCTATGGGTCTATTTTTCTACAAAACATGGCTTAACTGTAACAAGTTGCCAAAGACCCCTTCCAAAATTGCTGATGGCCACAGAAAGTAGTACTGGTGACATTCAAGTTGAAAAGGAGAGCAAAAATGTAATACTTGCATCCTGTAACCTTCTTAGCAAGACTATCCTTGACAGCTGGGGATGAGTATGATGTGGTTTGGACAGAAAAAATTGACATAAACTGACATTAAGTGAATAAGGCTAAATTTAAATGTAAATTTAGTACAAGTAGGAACCCTGAATAAGAATAGCTTGCTTCAAGCAATGCTTCAAAATGATTCACATGAAGCAGACCTTGTTGGCCAACTTTCCTTTCAGAGGAAACCAGGAAGCATTTCTGGGAAGAAAAATACTTGTTTCATAACTTGAAAGATGGTTTATGGGCCTGGTAAAATATATCAAGCTAATTCTCTCTGAATAGTGAAGCCAAACCACCATGAGAAGATTCCAGAGAAGATTCCTCTATATAACAGTGAACATACTTGAAGATTAGATTTATTTTACAGTAGTCCATGGATTTCAGTAGATTTTTTCAGCCACCAATAAGCTTTTCAACAAACTGGAAGAGCAGCCTTTGCAAGTCTGAACTGGAATATTGCTGCCATTTTTTTTATCTGAGTGAGTAATTAGGCTCCAGGAAAAGTATGTAATTTGAAATTATCCAGCGTATATGGAGACAACACTGGCTTTTGTCACTAAATAAATTCCATGTCCCATCAGAAAGTACATGGTTTTCTAGCTCTCTTCCCTGTCATCAAAAATAGGATGTTAATTTTATTGTGCCTTACAAAACACTCTGTGTCAGCTGGCTTTCCAAGCTAAATTGACAGATTACTTTATGACTCACAAGATTATTTATGATTTTTCCTATAGTCAAGGACTGTTACATATGGTTCTTATTTGGCTTTAAAATGTGTCTATTATTCCTGGCATATGAGAAGTGTGCAATAATTTTCTTAACCCTGAAACTGTAAAGATAATGTACTATAAAGATCATATTGATCAGCTTTTCTCTTTTTTTTTTTCTTTTTAACAACTTCATTCTTTTAGGATGTCCTAATTCTGAACTAGTAAGGACTGTAATGAACCAATTTAATTAATGAAGGCTGCTAGAAGATTATGATTGGAACAGAATATAAAAAAGAAAAAATTCCACTGTGTTTTAAGAAAATGCCTATGGAATACAGGATCTAGTAAAACTATGAAAAATAAAATAAAATATAAAACAACAACAGGCAGAAAATTCCACCACTGAATATTTTAGGATATATTAAAAAAAAAAAGACTGAAAGAAAGAGAGGAAGACAGAGAGAGGGAATGAGAGAGAAAAAGAGATAGAGAAATAGAGAGAGAGATAGACAGAGATAGAGAGATGGAGAGAAGAAAAAGAGAGAGAGAGAGAGACAGAGAGACAGATGGATTGAAAAGAAAGAAAAGGAAAGAAAGAAAAGGAAATAAAAAAAAGGCAAGAAACGGAAAGAAAGAAAGAAACTAACTGTAGGCAGAAATTCTTAGCCAACAAATAAACTTTCAGTATTTTGGAATGATCCTGCTTTCCTCATTCGTTCCAACTAATCTTACTCAAGGAATTTCAGCAATTTTGATGGCAATTAAATTAAATTCATGCAGAAAAGGACTATTAATTTAATGAATGGGTCCAGAGACATGCCTTCAACTAGTTCTTTTCTCTTTTTCTCTTCTATGATTTACCACTCTCACAATAACTTCTGTAAAACTCATGGCTGTTTTTCCCTGGTTTTGAGTAATGAAACTCAATCTGTATTCATTACTTAGCTTCCCCAGATTCTTATGTTCAGCTTTTTATGGTAACTGAGGAGTTTCCAAAGCTAAAAATGAAAAGGAAATGGATTAAGTACTAACATTAACAAATCTCTCTTGTCTGTCCCTCCCAGGAGAGGAATATTCAGTGTTCCTCCGTCACATGGCATAGCATAGTTTGAAGCTCTGTGTTAATTTCTGTCTCATATTGACTGAAAATTATTAGGTCACAATTACTCTTGTTTACTGCAAGGGTGAAGGGCCAGCTGGCTCTGGCATATTTCCTGTAGATTCTGTTGGGTTGCAGTGAGCCGTTGGCAGAAAGATCCTTAAAGTTGTGCTTATCCCAAGGGTTGGAATACACTTCCCCCATGCAAAAGAGACAACAAATACCTTCCTTTCTTGTCAAGCACTGCCTGAAATTTCCAGCAATGAGGAAATGCATAATTATTTCCAATTCTCTTTTTCATCCTCCAATGTCCAACTATTTCTCTAGCTTTTAGTTTCAATAATTCAAATAACCCTGAAAATCACCACAGGATTTGCAGTATCATACTTTGAGACCTTCACTTTTCTGAGTTAAAGAATGCTGGAACTAGAGAGCAAAGAATCAGTGCAAATGCCTTGTCATTGGCAACTCATATTGCATATATTCAGAGGGTTCTATATTTTTCTCAGTAGTTACAATACAGTCCCAAAGTTAAATGCATTATAGAACTCCACCTCAATTTTCAAGTACTTGGTTGTAATCATGATAAACTTTCATACTTGAAACAGCAAGTTATTTTTTATATTTCATTTACATTATTTTAATTCTTCCTTGTTCTATCTGTTTCCACTATTAAAATAAGTTTCCACACATAGACATCATGAGACAGATGCAAAAAATCTTCCCTGATTTGGTAAAAACTTACTTGGCCACAAAGGTCTGTTTCTTAAAATTATGTGCTGTCCAATGAGAAGTTCTAAAATTAGTGAATGTGAAAATAAATATGGAATGCACAATAGGAGGATAAAATTTAAACAATAACTTTTAAATAATGTTTTAACTTACCTCATTTTGAAAGTTATTTTAGACCAGATAGTTCAGTTGATTATTCAATGAAACTAGAATTCTTCAAAAATTTCTATTTCTAATATATGCATATTTAACTTCAGAAATGTTAGCCTCAGAAATGTTGAGCTTCAAAAAAATTAGTGATGTGACATTTGCAGCTACATAGAATATGCATATGTGGGAAAACACAAGCAGCTTCCTTACCTGTAAAATGTTTTATGAACTTGTCTTTTAGACTGGAATCTCTTGGAAAAATTTCTGAGGAGAGAAGAAAAAAAAATTACATTTATGTAGCATAGGAATTACAATAAAAGCTCTGAAAGCATAATATGCCAAGATGTCTGATGTACAGAGACCAAATAGATTCTGAAATTACCTATACTAATAATTTCTGTAGTTGTAGGAGTGTGGGTACGTTTAACAACATTGTGAAGTATTTCAGGTAATTCCCAGATGAATACTAAGTGGTCATCCTATGATACATAATAATTTTTTGACACTGATTTCTGCACATCTTTGGTCTGATTAGGGCTGTTAGCATAGAAAGACTGCAAATAGTATAAATATAAATTATTACACTTAGAAGTATGTAAGTACCTGAAGAAATTTTGTAAAATACATAGATAAATACAAACTAAATATTACTTTTTTGATTTTGAATAACAAGTGCCTGAAGAGAAAATTCTCCTGCAAATCACCTAAAATAGACATGAGCCATGCACATTTTCATTGCAATATTAGTTAAAAAATGGTCCTCCTCTCCCGTGAAAAGTGCTGTGAATTTTAAAATATTCCCTTTCCATTTATGGCATTTTTTCCCAGAAAGTACAAGAGAGTAGAAGCCTCTAGTAGAACACACAAAAGAATCACAAAGAACAGAAAATGGAAATAACACAAAAAGATAAAATTCCTTTTTCTTTCTTTTCCTCTTTTTTTCAATGGGATACCGCCTCTGGCTGACAGCAGAAACATTTGATGTAAGTAAACACCCTCAGAACCAGTACAACTCCCCCTAGTCTCATGAATTTTCCACTGAAAAAAATTATATCAATATTTTTGGGTACCTGCAGTTATTACTGGAGACAGTAACAAGCTGCCTGTTATGTCAAATTCAAAGAACCTCCCTGGCAGTACGACAAGGAACATTGCTAACTTGCAGCATTGGGACCTGCAGTTAAATACATTTATTCACTAAAAATATTTCCTTATATCTAAATTAATTTTAAATCTTTCTACTCTCGTACTTTTTTTTTCAATTCCCAATCTGAGTTAACATTTAGCTCAGAAGAGAGCTAGTTTCCTTTCATACTACAGTAAGATGTTGGTTATCTGCCAAGATAAATTCTTACCACTGGCTTTAGGCAGTTTCTCAGAGGTCACATGGGTGTATTTTTAGGCTGGGATTTTAGGATAAAATGCCCAAGTCTTTCTGGAACTCATCTAAGTAGGAAACCTGCTTCCAAGTAGGAAATATATTTCACTTAAGATTCCTTAAATATATCAGTTTTAACTGATTTATTTTCTCATTGCAGAAGAAATGCCACCCTTTCTCCAATAAACTTAGCATTTTACTGATAAGAAATGTCAGGTAGTTTAAAATTGTACCGAATTAGGAATATAAAAAGGCAAAATAGGGCAACAATTGGTGTGAGTTTTGAATGAGATGCCTCAAATGGGCAAGTGCTGATGAATAATCACTGCCTGGTGAAGTATAGGCTAGGAACTGGCCGTCCTTGCTCAGACAAAGTGCATTTAGATACAGACATTTGCAAAGGGCATAGAATTTCCTGTGGGAACAGTAGCTGCTTTTTGCCCCATAAAATTCTCTACTTGCCCCATAAAATTCTTTAGGAAAAGCCTGTATACAGCCAAAACCCCACCTCTTAATGGCCAGAAGGTGAAACAGGAGGACAGACTGATGCCCTGTCAAGGAGTTAGGTACTGCAAGTATACAATTGCAGCTGCAGCTGTGTTGGGAAGCCTGAGAAGGAACACTGCAGAGTCTGCTTTCCATGAGTAACCCACACTGGCCCAGGGTTCACACCAGCCTGCCCCAACAGGGAAATCTAGGTCAGTTGTGTGTTGAAAAGCAGCCGAGTGTGCTGCCTGCGTGGCTGCTGCTCCCCTGCTGCGGCTGCCATCCCTCCGGGCAGAAATCAGCTTTTCACCATGTGCCCATGGCTCAGCTTCCTCCAAGGGCTCCTTTGCTTAACAGTACAGTGCATGTGCTGGGTGAAACACAATCAGTGAGCCCCCAGCCCAGCACAAAAACAACCTAAGCTCATTTGTATGGGAATCACAGGCAGCACAGGTTCCTGGAATGCTTCTGGCTCTAATGGCAGAGGCAACTCCCCCTGAACCATGAATTGCCCAGCACAAGCACAAGCACAGTCATTTTCTCCCCTCTTCCAGCAGCGTAGCCAAGCCCTTCTGTCTATACACAACTGCGAGTTTGAGGTCTCAAAGGACTTAGCATTTCAATCAAACAAATGAACATCTCCTTTGAATATGTGTCACTGACTCCTGATGACACTGCAGCCAGAAGTAGGACATCAAGTCCATACATACTTCTGACAAGCTCTTCTATAGAGCAGCAAAAACTCATCATGAAAAAAGCCCCTGAACTAGTTTTTTCTAAACAGTTCTTAGTTGCTCCAGTCATATTTTATGTTCTATCTATCACTTATTAAGGTGTCCATTTTCACAACAAAGGCTCACATCCTCACAATGCAAGCTAAATTCCTTTGACACACTAATTTCACAAAAGAAAAGCAGAAGCATTAATATAATAAAAGAGATCGGCAATTGCTAAAATCAAAACACTTCAAAGGCACACTGAAAAACTAAAAAAGAAACAGGAAAATGAAAAACTAAAATGTTTTAACTGCAAAACCCACATAAATGGGAAATATTGAGTGGAAAGAGCTTATTCAATCCACTCTTGCCTCAAGATTATATTAAACAAACTATTAAAATACAGCCAGTATATATCCTATGGGATATAGTAACATTGGTTTTATTAATCTGGGAGAATAATTAGGCTGTGGCATTCTTGTACCCAGGCTTACAAAATCTGCACTGCTCACCACAGAGTACATCTGGGTTAAAAGGCACTTGAGCTATTGACTCTGTGTTCGTTCTGAGCATAATCTCAGTTTATAATCCAAATAACATTAGTTCTAGGATTTATTTCATATCTACATTAGGACTTCGATGCGTATCCTTCGATATTTACTCATCCAGGGCAAAATATTTTCTGTCCTTCCAAAGACAGCACTGGCCATGGGCAACTATTAAATGGTGCTAAAATGGATTTCCTATTGGCTCTTCTGTCCAAAATAGCAGAAATATTTATGGTAAACTCTAGGGACCAGACAAATTTTGAGGGTTTTCTGGCTCTGCTTCACAGATAGAATGGTTACGTTTCTAATGCAAAGTTGGTTCTAAAGCAATCCTTGTTAGTTCTATCAAGCTATGACATTTCAGAGATCTCACAGCTTTAGATAAGAGGTGACTTGATCTACCTGAGTTTTATCCCAGCTGGGATAAATGTGACGATGAGGTGCAAGCTAGAAATCAGTACGCAACACCTGATCCAGCTCTCCTCTCTTGAATTTTGTTATAAATTTTCCAAAGTTGATTAACCACTGTTTTAAAGCTAATTCCCCAGAAGATTATTCTTTCGGTTGTTATTCAGCACTCAGCAGCTGAATGTTTAATTTTTCACTAATTTGGGTTAAATTACAAAAAACTCTGAGATTAAATAAACTACAGCCTGATCTCAGTGTTTTAAGTTCTCAGCTTGCAACTTAAGACATAGTTGCACCACCTTCAATGGGTCTTTTCACCTTTCTGTGCCTTCAGTTTCTCTGTGTTTTGTCTGTTCAGACTGCAAAGTTGTGACAGCACATGCTGATTTTTACCCTGTGTTTGCACTGTCTCCTGAATCATGTCACCACAATTGTGCCAGGAACATTCATGTCCTAATGGAGTATAAATAAAAAGAACTGTGATCACAGCCCTGAAATAAGCCAACTCCACACAACAGTTTGTTGACTTGGAACACAACACCTCCACATCCTCAGGCACAAAATTCAAGATCTCCATTTGTTTATGCTCCCAACAGACAGCTTTAGTATATTTTTAGTTTATTCAGAGAATTAGTGTAAATCGGACAGCAAAAGTGCTCCACTGGTCAAGGCTGGGCCAATCAGAAATGGTGGTGACACCTTTGTGATAACATATTTAAGAAGAAAATAAAAAGAAGTTATTGTACAGCCAGAGAAGAGCAGATTGAGAACATGGAGAGGAACAACTCTGCAGACACCAAGGTCAGTGGAGGAGGAGGAAGGGGAGAAGGTGCTCCATTGTGCTTGAGCTGAGATTCCTCTGCAGCTGGTGGTGCAAACCCTGGTGATGCAGCTGTGCCCCTGCAGGCCATGGAAGTCCAGGGGGATGCAGAGATCCACCTGCAGGATGAACCCCACACCAGAGTAGGTGGATGCCTGAGAGGAAGCTGTGAACCTGCGGTAGGCCCACGATGGAGCAGAGTCCTGGCAAAGATCTGCAGACCCATGGAGAGAGGAGCCCACTCTAGAGCAGGTTTCCTGGCAGGACTTGTGACCCCATGGGGACCCACATTGGACCAGCCTGTCCTTGAAGGACTTCACCCCATGAAATAGTGGCCCACGTAGCAGCAGTTTGTGGAGGACTGTTCCCCTTGGGATGGGCTCCATTTGGTGAGGTTCAAGAAGAATTATCTCCCATGGGAGGGATACCATGCTGGAACAGCAGCAGAAATAGACCTAGCATCCATTCCCTCTCTCCCCCTGCCACTGAGGGGGAGGAGGTAGAGCTGAGAAGAAATGAGGGGTGGGGGAATGTGTTTATAAGGTCTTACATTACTTCTCATTATCCTGCTCTGATTTTTTAAGCAGTAAATTCAATTAGTATCTCTAATTCCAGCCTGTTTTGCCCATAAGAGTATTTGGTGATTGATCTCTCCAGGTCCTTATGTCAACTCATGAGCCTTCATTATATTTTTTCTCCCTTGTCCAGTTGCACAGGGGAGTGATAAGAGTGGCATTTGTGTGTGTCTGGCATGCAGCTAGAGTCAATCCACTACAGTTGTGCATTTTCTTGGTTCTGTCTGTGAAACGGCAGAAGAAAACTGTCAGCAGTAAGATGCAGCTGACTCTTCTATTATAAACCCAGATGCGGGCTTCCAAAACGTTTTGGCATGAAAATAGCATGTGGGG